CTGGACCACGCGCAAGGGCGCCCCGCTCCGCCCCTCCCTACCTAGGAGTCCAGACCTGCGCCGCCTGGCACCTGCTGCGAACCTGCAAGGGCGGCGCTGGGCCCTGCTGGGGGAATCGCGCGGAGGAGGCGCACCTGGTTCTCGGAGGTCCCCGCGGAGCCCAGTGTACAGGGCCCGACGTCTCTCTAGGCTGCGCACGTGGTGGAAGAGAGGGCTCCAGGGGAACCAGTTGCCCGCTCCATCTCCGAGCTGTCCATCCCCTCGGTGATGTCGCTTGCGGGTCCCAGGCCTGGCTGCCCTCCCTGGCCAGCTGGTCGGGAGTCCTCGGGGCCGCGGGCTGGACTTCCTGTGCTGCCGCACGCGACAACTCGGCCACCGAATTCATACCGGGTCAGGGCCTCTCTGTCTTGGCATCCCTGGGGGGCTTGTGTGTGAACAGGCCTGTGCTCGAGAGTGTGCGCACGTGCTTGTGTGCGCTCCTGACTGTGCACGTGAGTGCGCGCGCTTGTGTGTGAGTTCCCGTGTTACTGTCCTCTTACATGCGCATGAAGGCGCTTTTATGAAAGCGTGTACCTGAGCAGGAGTCCACGCGAGCGCTTGTGTGTGAGTGTGCCTATGTGTATGTGTGAGTGGATGCCCATTTACCGCCTGTGGGCCCTAGTGGCTGCCTACCCCTTCTGTGGTCTCACTGTCCCTCAGGTCATTTCAGCGGCTTTGCACACTTTGGAAAGGGGCAGTGGCCTTAGACTTCCTTCGCCATGAACATGTAGGTGGCCTGTAGGTGGCTCTGTGGGCTGTCCTGGCTTATCTGCTTCAGATCTTTCTTTGAATTCTACTGTTGTTATTGTTATATGCTGTCAAGTCGGAAGCCGAACTCACAGTGACCCCTCCTTGGGTTTCTGAGGCAGTATCACTACGAAAGGAGATTGCCCAACCTTCCTTCCCAGGAGTGGCTGGTGGGTTTGAACCGCCAGCCTGCTGGTTAGCAGTCAAGTGTCTTAGGCACTATGCTACCAGAGCTCCTTTGAATTGTACTATTCATTCACTTATGTGAAAATAGTTTTCAAAGTGTAAATATTTTTAAATACAGGCCAACCACAAGAATAGAATGAAAGCTTGAATCTGGGGGTGGCCTTAAACCATCTTCCACCCCCTCAAGTTCCTGACAAGTCTCTGGCTCAGTGAGCATGCACCCCTCCCCCAGTGCAGGGAGGATGGGCAGAACCTGGAGGTCTCCAGGGGTCTTGAAGAGGAGGTAGGTCTAGACCACCAACAAGAACACTCTTTCCCTTTCTGAGAGTGCTTTCTCCTTATTTCAGAGCAAGTTGCTTTGAATATCAAGTTGATATATGATAAGAATACAAGTTAAATTAAAATAAAAGGGTGGGGCACAAAGGGTCTGAGAGGGAAACTGCTCCCTAGCTGTTGCATTTCCCCACATCAGTCCCCTTCGTAACTCAAAGAGGCAAGGGCTCTTTCTCTTGTGGAAATTGATGGTACCTTAGTGGATGTTGTTGTTGCTGGTAGGTGCCATCCAGTCATCCCCAACTCATAGCGACCCTATGTACAGCAGAAAGAAACACCGCAGGGTCCTGAGCCAGCTCCATGGCTCTTGCTACCCTTGAGCTCATCGCCTCTGCCGCTGTGTCAGTCCATCTCGTTGAGGG